CATAGGTATTACCACAGTAACGGACTGAGGATAAACGATCGCATAATCCGATGTTCGTATTGTATCTTATACATTTAATTCGCTAAATTTATATTCATTTAAAAGTTAAATAGTTAACTGTTTGTCTGTTACTGTAAAGCGTGTTTAACATTTTTAATTTAAATAAAATCTAAAGTCTGAAGATGATACTCAGAAGGCCATTCCAATAAACACAACCCGCTCCTCTCGATAGGTGCTTATTAAAAAATGAAAACTATTAATTTTATTCATACATATTATTTTTATATTTTGAACAGGTAAAAACCCAATCCTACTTAAATGTTTTGATAAATACAAATAATTCTGATCTAGATGATCCAAAATCACTTAATATTTCACAAAATAATACTCGTGAACTGAATGACTATTCAAATACCTTAAATTATGATTTGAAGCGTTTAAATACCCACAAAAAAATAAGTTAAGGAATAAGGATTTCGATACGACATTTAAGTACAAGATTTGCACAACAATTTTACCAATAAGTATGTTATTTTATAGTTGAAAAAGTAAAATAGGTAATTTAATAACATGTATGTCAAAGTAACTAGCACAGCACTTTATTACTTTTTAAAGTAACTTACCTTACACTGTTATTAGAGGCACTATGTAAATTGTAAAAAGTTCTAATAAATAAAAACAAACCAATCCAATAATTTTTTTCAATAATCTATTTTCAGATGTATCTTATGTCAGTTTTTGATAAACAATAAAGATCATTCAATGCCAAGTACCGAGTTTATGTGTATTGCGTAATGGGTAAGTTATGAAAAAGGCGCAATTTTTTTCTTTAATTGTCGAATACTTGAATGTAGTTCTATTGATCGTGTTTTTATCGAAAGTGATTTTATAAATTGGGAAAAGGTAAATATTAATTAATGTATTTAATAAAATATGACAGAATGAGGTGTTGAGTATTCTAATCATGTTTGCTATGTTTTTTGTATACTAGAAGTCGAGGACAAAATTGTTAATTTATTGATCTATTGATCATTGAACTAAAATTGATAGACATAAGTCTAGTAAAAATAGTAAGATAACTGGTAACATTCTGTACCAAGTATTAAATTCTCGTAAAGTTTATCCTGAAGAATAGATCTAATTTAGAAACGTTTATAGATATTTTTTTTATATTTGGGATGTCAAGGTATTGCATTCCGAAAAAATATTGAAAATGAGGATTCCCTATTAATCTTTTCACTGATTTAAAAAAAAATATTTTTCAATGTATATTTATAAATAAGTTCAATGATTAACCAGAATAGCCACTGACAAAAACTGGTTGGCGACTAAATCAAAAAATTTATTTTAACCTCAACCTCATCTTACTAGTTTAGCAATATTATTAAACCTATTCAATATTTTTATTATAGACTTATTGATATTTGAATTTGTGAAATTTTTTATTGTGTTTATTTAAATTTCATAACATATACACTGGGCGCTTTTACTTTTCACCATAAACTTTAAATGACTACATTTAAATAAATATTTAGCTTATTAATGTAACAGTGTTACACCGACGTCCATAATACATATAATACACTAAATCGTTTAATTATGTTATAAAAATTAAATTAGATTACATTTATTGTATACAAGCATTTAAACCAATGAATTTTCAGTATGAGAATGATATGAATATATTTAAGAAAACTTTTATAACCAAAAATAGATTTAAATAAATAAATCATTAAAAAGTTAATTTATAAAGATAGTCTATTGTTATTTTTAAATGAATGTGAAGATACAAAAAAAAATAAAATTGGATAAATTAGAATTTAAGTAATTATACATACATAAATTTATGTATATATACGCATAATGCATTAACTCATAATTTAATATTAATTTATTTTTAAATACAATAAAGAAAAAAAAAAATTTACAATGTTTAGTTTTTAGAAATCCATAACTCTAGCCAATTTTTTTAACCGGTTCAACAATATATCGCCTTTTTTCACAGTAGTCTGATATAATATACCACGTTCCAGCCTAGATTCGGGCGCTCCTAATTGTAAGCTACACTTGGATGTACTACTTGTCACCACAGCTCCAGCAACATGATCAATCTTGCAAGTTAAACGTCCAGCAGCTGCAAATCTGGCAACTTCTTTTTCCACAAATGCTTTAGTCACACCAAATGATTCAGCCATATAATCCAAACTCAACGACCTATATGCTTGCAATATTTGTTTATATGCCAATAGCCTCATCTCTTGGACATAATACTTATAGTGAGGGTGTAACAATGGGTCTTGTTTCATATTCTTTTCAATGCGTGCTAAATAAACTAGGAATTTAGAGTATTGACCTTCATATAATGACACAAAGTAATCTTTCAATTCTTTAGAATCTGAGTTTAAAGCCTGAGCCATAACACCATGATGCATGAGTGTTTTCTTTAGCTCGTATCTAGGGAAAGCAATCATCGATGAGTACACAGTGTATTTGATGATAGTGCTGAAATCAGCAAGTTCATATGATTCAAATGTAGGTACAACATCTACAAACAGCTTGGCTGCTCGGTTGAAATCTCGTATTGCCAAACTCCAAATACCGTCATATGCTTTAAGTTTATTTCTGGCACTCCAATCTCCACCAGATCCTCCTTCAATTAACTCTGTGGCTTTGTCTATAGCTTTTTTCATTGCCGGAATATCACATCCATGAAAGTATGCAACTCTAAATAGAGCGAATACAGTGTCAATTTGCTGTGATTTAGGTACATTTTTTTCTTCTAATTTAGATTCGGCCAATTTTGTTGCTTCTTCACGGTCACCAATGGAACATAAATAAAGCAACTTTGCTTGCCATATACCAGATACTGGGTCATCATCATCTACCATGGTGGGATTTTTTTCTTGTTCAAGTTCTGCCATGCGCTTAGCATTATTAGCAGCCATTTTATCATAAAGGGTTTGATCAAACTTCCATGACAAATCTGTGCATACTTCTTTATAGTAGGGAGCCATATTATTTTGGACTATACCAGCTAATAAAGATGAAATTAGATCTGGATCATCTTTATACTGAGGGAGAGTTAGGCAAAATTTTATCTGTGCCAATTTCAGATATGCTGGTGTAACGCCTTCAGCTATGTCCATATTAGATCTGTAAAAAAATAATATATTTTTTATAGCTAAAATGAATTACTAAAATAATAAAATAACTGTTAACTGATACTATCAAGTAGCTACTATGAATTATCATTATAAACAATTACATTAAATTAGGATAGGATATTATAATAATACTAAAATCAGAACCAATAAGTACAATAAAATAATTTTTATTTTAAGTATAAAATACACAAAATAAAATAAAATTAACTATCCAATCATTAGCCGTTTACGACCTCGACTTCGGACATTTTGAAATTGATTAATAACAGCTTGAACATCTAACTTATAAGCACTTTTATAACCATCCGTAATAACTGCAAATAAGTCTGAAAAGTAAGAATGTGTACTGATAAATGCTCTTTCTAAAACATATAAATCCACAGCTTTGTCTTCAACACTTGGATTAAAATGACTAAGACCAAAATCAATTAACACCAATGTGCCGTCATCTTTTCTTATGATGTTGGAAGTCGTTAGATCGCCATGAAATACTCCAAGAGAATGCATATTTCCTATGATAGCTCCAATGTTCAAAAGTAATTTTTTCAAATTACCATTGTCATCTAGTCTGTTATCTTTCATATTAGTTAGATATTCATTAACTGTTTGACCATTTATAAATTCCATTATTATTTTGTAGTCATTTAAATCCAAAGAATATATAACAGGTGTGGCAATACCACCCTGTTTACATCTCAAAATAGCTTTAGCTTCAGCTTTAGTACGTTCTTTTCGTATATTTAAATCCAATACTGTGTTTCTATATTGTCTTGAAAATCGTTCTTTAACAATAGCTTTTTGTTCTGAATATAGAATAGTATATATTTTTGATTCTGCTCCTTGTTTATATAATTCCATGATTGGGATGAGATAGGTATGTGAATTACAATCTGTCATTAAATATAAATTACAGTAAATAACACATACAACTGATAAGATACAATTTTAAAATTGAATTATAACTAAAATAATAAATTTAGATAATAATATTTACTTGAAATTAAGTAAATAAAATTAGGTATAAGATATATATATATGTTTAACAAATATTCAACAAAAACTAAAAATAATAACAATGTTTTGATTTTTAATTTCCATTATATAAGTACATCATACCATGTAATAATTAACTAGTAAAATACCCTGAAGAAAAAAAATTTTCAATACCTAATACATATTAATTATATGAATTAATAAAGAAACAAACAAAAAACTAGTATTACGTATTTTTCATATTTTATATGCTTGTAAATATATTTACTTTTAGATACTAACCTAAACTTAAACTAAAAATGATTATAAAATAAAATAAAAAACTTACCAATTATCAAAAAAATCAATGCGAGAGAAATATACTATGAATGGTTTGATCGACAATTTATTTCTTTTAGCTTTTAGTTATAAAATAAAAGATATTAACTATAAAATGGATTTAGTTTTGTTTACTTTTTGCATTGTCATTTATCATAAAAATCTTTAGTTAACCTAAAATATTTTATTTGTTGTATAATCATGGGGTGACTACTCTAACCTTGGTTATATGTACTGGTATACTATTGAATGAAAAATATAAAATAAACATTTAATAAAATCTCATTTAAATGATTATATATTGAATAACAATAAATAAACAATAGTTTAAAAGATCAATAATCGTTTACATTTTTAAAGTATTAAACAACAATAATACCAGATTTCGAATTAATTTATTATCTCTTTATTTTACAGACCTAATAAAAGGATAATTTACCATCCACCAACAATAACGTGGTATACATAATGTTATCTATGATTCATGATTAGACCACCAGTTAGTAGATTACACTATCACAAAGTTCCTCTATAGAAAGATCATCACGTGTGCCTTACGTAGTAACGTAGAATACTCAATATTGCATATTGCCTTGTGTTTAAAAAGAGGTACTCGGGTCTCTGACTGTTGTAGTCTTACAAAAAACTTTAATTATAATCATAATAATTTTAGTTTTTAAAATTAAATATTTAAATATTCATTAGGTTTCAATATGGTTAGTTCATTAGTTAAAAACGATGATGCCTTCAATGATGAAGATATGGATGATGTTTCATACGAGAAGCATAGACAATTGTTACAAACAATTACATCTAAAACCAAACGAAAGTATGTAATTTACATAAATTTTAAAGTTTTATAAATGAAAATTAATTAAATTTTATCATATACATTTTTTATAAAATTTTAATTTAAGAATCCAACCAACTACTCGAAATGAACCAAGTTTACAAGTTTCTGAGTTTCATTTGTCAAGTGGAAAGCAAACAACAAACGTTGATGACTTAACAGATGCATTAAAAAAAAAAGCACCAAAAATAAGACAAAAAATTCAAGTAGCTAAATCAACAAAAAAGCTATTGCAGAAACCATTAGATAAAGTTCATGCTGAAAAAGTAATCTTTTTATATCCTAATATTATTTTTTAATTAATAATATCTTATATCTATTAAATATTATTGAACTGGTTATCTTCTTTAATAATATTTGAATTTGTATGTAATGTTCATGTATTGATAACAAGCTTGACAACCAAATTTTTAACAGTTTAATATAGCTTAGAAATTGAATATGTTCATCAAATTTGAGAATTTAATAATTTTATATTACAATATTCTAATACAATTTTCAAATATTTTAATAAAATGTACACTTATGTAATGGTGGTCCATGTGTTAATACTAAAAATAGACAGTGATAGGATGAGACTAATAGCAAGGCTTACAAATCAGTGAACCCAGTTTCAATACTGTCTATAATACATAACATTTTCTCCTAAAATCTTATAACATACTCAACTTTACTAAATCTCAGGTCATTGTGATGACATAATTAAACTGTTAGTATAACAAGATATATTTTTTAATTCAATAAAAATATTCCTATGAATTATTATTAAATAATAGCTAGTGTTTTCTATCATATGGATAGACACAGTTTCTTAATCTAACAAGCCCTGATTATAATATGATTTAATAAGAATTTAAATTAAATTTTCTAAAAATCTTTATTTTTTTTTTTATTGTAAACCTAAACTTCTAAATAAATCTAACTATAAATTATAAATTTAAGTTATAACATATTCAACAAAATAAAATCTAACTAATTTAAGACTTTGGTTTTAAGAGAATTTCAAACAATCAGTTATTTAATCAACATGTTCCAATCTTTTGTCTATCATTCCAATAAGCCTATTCATGTGATTTCATTTTAAAAAACTAACTAGAATTTGTTTTTATGTCTACTCGAAATATATTATGACCACTTTCAAATTGTATACCTCAACTCCTTTACATAACATCAATTTTAAATATTAATTATTCAAAATTAAAATTTGATCTGATCGATCTCTAATAGTCATATTAAAGAATTTATAAAAGTAATACTAAAAAGAATTTTTTAGTAGTCTTATCATATTATTACGTCCATCAGTTTGATTGATTAAATGTACATACAAATGAACATGTATATCTTTTACATTATAAATGACATTAATGATTATTTATTAATTTACAAGATCCATTTACATACAGTGAGAAAAATTCCTTTATTAAACTCCTTAAATATTTGTCTTTTTGCATTCCTCTTAAAATATAAATTAAATGAAACCTAATAGTGTTATCAATACAATAAAATTATCAAATACAAAACTTTTAATTGAATTGAGTAATTAAAAGATTAAATAAAAATATTAATTAACATTGTTTTTATTACAGATAAAAAGAGCAGTAGCTTATGATAATTTCAAAAAACACATTAGTAGATGGTCTGCTATTGTTGAAAAAAATAAATCTGCTGATCAGTTAAGATTTCCTTTAAGAAATAGTGAAGTTGAAGTTTTTGATAATCGTATGGTTGATTTTAGTCGAGGGTTATCTAATCCTACAGATTTACAAAAAAAAATTACTGCTGTATTACAATCTAGTGAAATTGTTCAACAAAAACAAAAAGATTTAGTAATAATTTTGTCTAAATTTCAAAACAGTAACTATTATTAATGAGTTAAATTTATTTATTTTAATTTTTAGAAAATGTCTTGGATCGAAAAAGAAAAAGAAAAGTATCCATTAACACTTAAAGAGTTGTTAGAAAAACGTAAAACTATGGCTAGTTTTCGAGCTAAAGAATCATATAGACATGCTAAAGCTCATAGACAAAATAAAATTAAAAGTAAAAAATATCATAGATTATTAAGAAGAGAGAAAACAAAAGAGCAAATCAAAGAATTTGAAAAATTACAAGAGACAGATCCTGTAGCAGCGTTAGAAAAACTTAATGTTATTGAAAAAACAAGAGCTGAAGAGCGTGCTAGCTTAAGACATAAATCTACTGGACAGTGGGCACGAAATCATGTTGTACGAGCCAAATATGATAAAGATGTAAGTAATAAATATTTACAAATTAAATTTGAAGATAAGAAATATTACTTGCCATAGATTTAAAATTTAATAAGAACTATTGTATATTATATAGTCTGCATCATATAAGAGTAGTTTTAGACAGTGACTAATTATCATCCACATCTCTCAATAAATCATTTTTTATAATCGGCTCTCATTTCCGACTACAAATTAAAGCCAAAAATTTATTTTACTGCGTTAATTTTAGAAAATTAGGTAGTTGAAATAATAAAGTAATGCTCTACAGATGTTAGTCACACCCATTCCTACTGCTGTGCTCAAAACTTATCTGCCCTTTGAGGTTATTCTTGTATGAGGTAGGGTATGAATATTCATTTATATTATAAAAAAAAATAATCATTTTCATATAAAATTTAAGTTAGTTTTCAAACTATGAAAGATTAGCTAGATCTAAGCTACTACATTTGAATAGTAGCTTATAATATTTTATGGTATAAAATAATATAATGTTATTTGGATTTTCAAAATAGATTTTGAATTTGGATGAATAGTTAAAGAAATAGTTTTAATTTGATTGATTGTCATTATTTTTTTTTTTATATATATATATAGAGCCGAATAGCATTAGCAGAACAGTTAAGAAAGAGTAAAGAGTTAACTCAGAAAGTACAACCATCATTAAACGATACTAATGATTCTGATAGTTCTGATGAAGAACAACTTGAAATACCTGATGATCAAGTGGTTGATCCTGATAATCCTTGGCTTGCTGAACGAAAAGAATTCAAAGATTTTATAGTTGGTTATAATAATTTTGTTCAAAATAATAGTGAAACCAAAGAAATAAATGATCAATTTAAAAACAATGAATCAAATGAGAAAATAAGTAAAACTAAAAACACTAATGATCAATATAAAAACAATAAATCAAATGAAAAAAATGAAAAAAATACAGAAACTAAAGAATCTGATACGAACAAACTAAAAAGTGATAAAATAGTAACAATTAAAGATGAAATTAAAAAAAAGAAAAATAATAAGGTTAAGAATATTACAGTTCATGATCTTTCTAATTTTGATGAGGAAGAGAGTTTTGTTGAAGTTTTAAAAATTGTTACACCTAAAAAAAAAAAAGTTCGTTTTGCTAATGATATAACTGAGTTAGAAACTAATACTAAAGAAATAAATACAAATGTTAAAAGTGACTCTAAGGTACAATGCAATAAGAAAAGTAGTAACGTTGATGTAATTAATACAGTTGCTGGAACTTGGTATGTATCTTCAGATAATGTTAATGATAACATGAACAAAAAAAAAGTACACAGAGATGTTGAAAATGCATTTAAGACTGTTGAAAATGAATTAAAAAAAAAAATTGATGAAAAATTGTTAAAACTCAATAAAGTTAAACAACCTGCAAAAACAGATGTTGTTAAACGTCAAAATGAAGAGGTAAAAATTGATTACTTAAAAATGAATAATAAACGTACTAAAGCTGAATTTAATGAACCTTTGTATGAGGATAATAAAACATTAGATACTAATAATATAAACAATATTGAAGACAACCAAGGATCTGCTATTAAAATTGTTGAAAAACCCAAAAAGCAAGTACAAAATATTGATCCAACAGAATTTTTACAAGTGACTCAAACAAATTTAGAAACTGAAGAAATGACTCAGATAGAAGATCAAATGGACGATAAAGAAGAAAATGAACAAGAAAAGTTGATCGCAGAAGCTTTTGCTGATGATGATATCATTAATGAATTCAAGTATTAACTATCTAATCTTAATTATACAAACATCTTTTATATAATGGTTCTATATTTAGGGAGGAAAAGAAAAAGTTAGAAGAACAATCCAAGCCAAAAACAGAAACAGCACTTCCTGGTTGGGGCAGTTGGGCAGGTCCTAATATCAGAAAACGAACATTTAAGAAAAGAGGTAACATGGGGATGTTCAGAACACCTGCTAAACCACCACGTAAAGATTTCAATCGAGAAAAAGTTATTATTCATGAAAATGCTGATGATTCTATTAGATCACATTTAGTAAGATATATTTTCATTAATATTTTTATCAAATAACTACTAGTTAAAATTGAATTCAGCACTAAATGTTGTAAATGAAAAACAATCCCGAGTTGAGGCTGTTAATCTATACTTCTTAGAATATTTTATTATTTATATATTTATGTGATTTATTTTTTTAGTAATTTGTTGGATTAAACTAATTTCCATCAAAAACAAATCACATTTTTTATAATATAACTAACTGTTATAAGCTTAATACCGTTGTTCTATAGATTAGTGAGAATAGAAATTCTTGAAATAACTAACTTAAAATTTAACTAAATATTTTAAAAATTTCACTATGATTAGTGAATAATTTTATAAATTTTGGTGAGTCTAACACCCTTTTACTAATGATTTTTAAATAAAAAACCTCAGATGCCCATGATAGCTTAAAATTATAATATTCTATATATACTGAAAATTTCATTCTGTATGAAATGTCATAATTTAGATAATAGTGAATTTTTTCAAATTTCTACCGTTAACACTTAACACATTGACTGCGTATGTCTTTCGCAGTTCCCACCCAATGCGTATGTTACTTTTTTCGTTAAATCTAATTTTGGTACTAAGAAAAAAGTTTTTAAATGTTTTTAACGGTGTATTTAAAACATGCATTTAATCACGCTAAATAATAATAAAACCACATTTAGCCATGCTTAACGAGTAATAAACCATTTACTTTTAATATTTACTGGACACCATATGGCGTCAAACGCGTGGCTGATTGATACTCATGACGCCCATTGGCAACAATACGCAGTCAACGTGTTAAATAATAACTAAAATTAAATTAATTTTACAAATAAATAATTTCATCAAAATTTCAATTTCAATTAAAAATATTACAAATTTTATAAAGTCATATAAAATTAAATATTTTTTTTATAAAATAGTTTAGATACATATTTATGCGATTTTGACTAATTTTTAAAAAACATGAGAAACCTTGTTCGCATTTTCTTACTATCATACAATAATTGTATCTCAAAATAAGTCAAAAAATATGATATTCTCATTTTCATTAAATTTTTTTTTTCCTAAGTATTTTGAAAAGTACATTGATTTTTTTTTACTTTAAACTCCTCAATATACCAACTAGATTCAATTTCAATTTACTATTAGAGTCTATTCTTAAAGTTGATTTTAGAAGTTTTTTACAGCTCTACTAGGTACTTATATATTATATATAATAAAAAAAAACAAAACATAAAATCAATAAATATAGTGAAACACACAGAATCTATAATAAAACTTTAAAGAAACAAACAAAACAGTTTTAAATCCTTTTATGAATTATAATTGTTATTACTTATTTGTATAATACCATACATATCACTTTTTTTTTTTTAGGTTTCTGAATTGCCATATCCATTTAAAGGTATTGAAGAATATGAAGAAACAATCAAGGTACCTGTGGGACGAACATGGGTGCCCGAGACAGTTTTCCAAAAACTTACTGCTCCCCCAGTTGTTACTCAAATGGGTCAAATTATTAATCCAATTGATGAAAATTCTGTTGTCAAAATTAAATTAAATGATTAATATTTATTTTGAGAATCTTGTTTTAATTCAATATAATTTAGTAATGTTGCAATTCACAATTAATATATATGTATATATACATATATATATATAAATATTTGAGGACTTTTAATTACACTTTACAAATTAATTAATAATATAAAGAAAAAAACTATAATATTAATAATATTGTATAATGCTATTAGTAAGTTACCTAATTTAAATAAGCTTTTTAGTTAATTTAAATAATTTATCGAGCTAATGTAGCATCAATTTGAGTAATCCACGGTATAATTAATTTAATTTTTCTTCGATATGCACTGTCTTTGCTTAATGGATTATGTTCCAGGTATATAGTTTCTAATTTCTTCAAATCTTCCAAAATTTGAATACTATTCCAATCATTTATTTGGTTGTCATTAATCTAAAAAATAATCAATTTATGTATTTAATTATAATAACTATAGTTGTTGTATTTTTAAAGATTTATTATTCTTACCCAAAATTCTGTTAAGTTTTGTAAATGTATTATATTTTCAATTTTAGAAATTTTGTTCATAGATAAATCTAGAGTTCCAAGATTAATATTATCTTTAAGATTTTCAATTACAGTGATTCCATTTTCAGATAAATACAATTCATCCAGTTTTATCAACTTGTTAAGATTTTCAATTTTTGTTAAATTGTTATTTTGTAAGCTTAATATTTTTAAGTTGACCAATGTATCTAAATTTTGTATTTTATCAATTTTATTTTTTCCGAAGTATAATTCTTTAAGACCAGTAAGACATTCAATATTTTCAATTGTCTATAAATTACATAAATTTTAAAAATTTAAATAATTATTTAATTGACATGGCACTAAATAAAATATAAAATATAACTAATAACCAAGGTTCAAGATTTACAGCACCTAATTTAATCAAAAATATTTCTTGAAAAAAAGCATGTAAAGACTTGATTAAAACTATTTTAAAATATTAAAATTAAAATAGTTTTTAAAAAATAAGGTTAATTCCCTTAAACTAAAAAACAAAATCTCTTTAAAAACTTCTATTTCTTTTTTTTTTTTTTTGTATTAGAAAATACTACTTAGGTATTGTTTTTCTAATACTACTAAAACAAATTAGTTTTTTCAGTAACAATGTATCAAAACACAGTTAAAACACTTGCATTCAAAAAAATAATGAAATGCATTAAATTCTGAACATTTCTGTAACATAGTTTTAAGCATTTAATACTAAATTTTAAAAATAAAGTAGTATAGAAAAACTTATAAGAGTTTAAAAATAATGTTCAAATATAATAAAATAATATTGTTGTAGTTTAACTACAACATAAAGGTAAATAAATAAAAAGTGCAAAGCAAATTGAAAGATATTATAAACAAAATTTTAAATTATTTTTTTGAAAATCATAGACATACCTTAATTTTATTATCTCCTAATTCCAACATTTGTAGATTCAATAAATGATTAACATTTTTTATTTGAGTTATTCGATTACTGGATAAATACAATTTTTCCAAATTGATCAACTGTTCAAGACCTTCAATTTCTTTTATACGATTGAATGACAAATCAAGCACTCTAAAATTATTAAATATTAATTTAAATTAAAATCAAGTACAAAAAACCCATAGTTAAATCATTTTACTTCAAGTTTACAAGACTGGATAGATTTTCAATTTTGGTTATTTGGTTATCATACAAATCAAGTTCATTAAGAGAAACTAGCATTTGAATGTTTTCAATTTTCTTTATATGGTTCCAACGAAGACATAAAGAGCGAAGATTTACCATGTTTTCAAAATTTTCGATTTTATCAATTCTTTGATGATTTAAATCTAACTCCTAAAATAAAGAAATAATCTAAGCAATGATTCAAGAATTTTAGATTACATTCTAAAAATCAACTAAAGAATAATTAAATACACAATTAAACAGATAAAAAAATAGTACTTCTAACATTAAGAAAACTATTATTAAATATATTTTACAAAATACCTATGTTATAAAATTATTTTTTATTTTCAAGATAATTATACCCATTCATCTCTATTCAGATTAAGACTATTTTATTTCCTTGTAAATAAATTTAGTTATAACAGAACTGAATGATGACCAATTTCTTCTAGATTCAAATTTGCTGTTATATGTAAGACTTAAACAGCACATTTGGGTATAGCATTTTCTTAATCAATAAATTAATAAATCAGTTAGTAGTATACGATAAATATACGAGAAAAGTATTCTCCAAAAATGTATATGAATATTTTAAATGTTAATTGAATGTAAAATAAAAAATAAAATTATAAGATAGTAACTATTATAAATAATAGGTCTTTTCAATTATGACAAAAAAATTGTATATACAAATCTTACGACATAAAACAATATTTGATTATATTATAAAAAATAAATTAATAAGTGCAATTCAATTCTATCATTAACTAAAATTCCATCCATCAAAAACATTAAAAACCTATTGAAGTTTTAGACATGAATCAATAAATAATAATTCAAAATAATTTACTTCAGCATTTTCATTTATTTCCACATGATTTTCTTCATATATAATATATTTTACTCCATTTTCATCTACACTTTCAGTAGATTCTTCTATCTTTTTGGTTTCTACATTTCCATTACCTCCTATTTTGACACATAAAAGTTAGAGAAATTGGGTTAATCCATATTTTATGATAAATATATTTTTAAATAAATCTTACCGTCAGTTTCATTTGCGTCCATTTTATTTAATTGAAAATAGTTAACAAATAATATCCTTTTCAATAACAAGATTATTTTAACATCAAAATTAAGATTGTTCAATGATTAACTAAAACTCACAAATCTGTGCTAAAAACACATTAATTTAATTAAAAATTTTAAAATTCAAGTTAAAATGTTATAGGTACGAATTCTAATCAGTAAAAAGTAAAATTTAGCAATTACAGTCATAGAAAAAAAAATACGGATAACCGAAATTGATATGAATATTTGATTATATTGTAATACCTACCTACTAAAATGTATAACAAACCTTTTTTCGTATAAAATTGTAAAATAAGTAGATCAAGATTTAGGATAATATATAATATTTTAGTTTTAGTATAAAGACGATTTTACGATTTAAAATTAAAACAGTTCTAAATTTTATCATAATTATTATAACATTGATTACAGAATAGACTCCATTATATATTTATATATAATCACAGAACAATAATATAATCAATGTCCAATGATAATACCAAAAATGAGTAAATGAATAAAATAGTGATACATATTATTTTTTACCCATATGACCATTATATTATATTATATCTATTGTCCATATCTTAAACCGTAGTACCATTCGCGTCCCCATGAGGGGGAGGGCAATACCCCTGTCACTTGCTTCCCCTTAGAATTTTAAATCTGTTACCTAATTGTAATAATTTAATGTAATAATAGCAAAACATAATAATGTACCACAAATAAAATGTATAAAAAAATCTTCTTCATTTATATTTTAAATTAATTTTGCCCCTCCCCCCATAAAGTAAAAATGTCTTGAGATGCCCAAGCGTAGTATCTATTATGATATTACACAGCTGGTGTATTTATTATTTAACCAGGAAACCTTTTATTTTTATTACTATTATTATTATTAATTAAAATATGTGTTTATAATCCATTCAAAAAATTTAAAAATTTGAATAGTCTAATGACCAAGATTATTTAAATAACGGTTTAGTTGAAATGGGAATTAGGAAGACTCACTTCTCAGTACCACGTCGTGATAAGAAAATTCCCAGGAAACCTATACCAATATTACTATTTTTTTAAACTTAATTTCTTGGTAAAATGTAAATTCTATCGAATCTGTAATAAATAGTAAAATTAAAAAGTATATTAAACAAGCATAAAATATTAAATTATAAGCTATGGTAAAAACTATAATTTGTTTTAAAATAATATTTAAATAGTACATAATTATTAATTTTATTACAAACATAACATTTATATTTAAAAAAAAATATTACATTTATTATTTGATGACGAGTTAGATATTTTTTACTCAATGAATAAGACTATTAAAAGTTAAAACTAATAAAACAAAACAGAAATGGCGTTCTTAATCTTACGTTTCAACTTTCAATGTTTAAAGTTGGAATACAATTAGCACTTACATTTTGGTTCGTCCATTAATATTTTTTCTTCCTGGATATGTTTTATACATGGCTATAGATATCATAGAAGAAAAACTTATATATTATCTTAGATTAAACTGCCGTACTGCCGGCTGCCGATAGAATTAAATATGATATCGCACCGCTGTTATGTTTTTAAACATTTAAAGTATTTAAACGTTTTCAGTGTTTTCACAGGAAGTTTCTATAATTTATTTGTTCTTTGTCGTTGTTTGATTTAAAATTTATATTTTATTTGTTCTAGAGAATATATATATTTTAATTTATAACCATCAAACTATGTAGGATGTACCATCTATAAACTATAATGTGGGGTTTAATATTAGTTTCATTTCTATATTCTATGTTTTTTTCGAATTATATTTTTAGTTTTGTGTCTTAATTCGTTATTGTAATTTGACCAATATTTTCTAAATAATGAATAACAAAAAACCTAATTTCAACAACAATTTAGATAGTTGCTTACAAAGTTTAAACTCGAATAAAGTCACAGAACGAAAGGTAATAGTGTATAACATATTAAAATAAACTATTGTATAAAATATAGGTAGAATAAGTATTTATACTGAGTTAAGCCATATTATTTAATGTATGACTGAGAAATAAACTGTCCATGCATAGTATTATAATTATTGTTGAAGAAAGATATTTAATTAATATATTATTATTGATAAAAAGACTAAAACATTTTATATTTAACAAATAACTTCCATAATCTTCCAAGTTTTATTTCTAAATATGGGACCAAATGTAATGTCAATCAATAAGAATAACAAGATTAACCTTAATATATTTTGGACTGTCATAAACTTAGATCACATATTGGTATACATGTGTCTAATATCTATTATAATAAACCAAATAGAAACTAAAAATTAAACCAGTTATCTTGATTTTAGAATATTTAAGTTGTCTTGAAAAAAAAATATTATAAAGATGAATTTTTTCAATAGATCAATTATTTTAAGTTAAATTTAATAATCCAAAGTAATATTTTAAGTAAATGTTAAAAAGTACATTTTTATTAGTTTTAGACGTAAAAGTTTGAGTTTCTTTTACTCTTTCTCCCATAATTTTATGTCCTAATTCTAAACATAATAGTTATTATGATTTATAATATAGTACTATATACAGTGTATGCAATTTTTATAATACTGCTGATACTTAAATATTATTGATGCAAGTTTTAATGACATCAACAATTTTGTATTTTAGGAATAAGAAAATAATAATTTATCAAATATCTATCTCTCATTACAACTTGCTAATTATAATTGTATAGTTTTACTTATTCATTAATACTATTTTAACATCTTATAAAAAAATATATTTATAGATAAAACAACAAGAAATTCAACAATTATTGGAAAACGATGAAGTCATTGAAGTTTTGAATTATAACAGTAGTCTACAACAGATAAATCAATCTCAAAGTATTGATGGTAATCTTGTAACATGGACATGTCTTCTAAATTGTTATCACCGAAGCTTAATACTTGTTAGTAAATTAGTCTTTTAAATTAAACAATCAAACTACCCTTTAAAGGACTGCATCTCATACTCCTTGTTTATCTTACCACCTTCATTACATTTGATATATTTATTCACTGGTAAAGTGTTCATTTATCGTTAAAGACAAATATTGAAGCTAACTACCCACCCATGTGTAAAATTAAAACCTGCCTTTATTTTTTATTTTTCTAAAATAAGTATTAATATTTTTTTACAACATCAATTAATATTTATGTAACCTATAACTTCCATTACTCTATTTAGACAATATAATGTTATCTTTCCAAATCCTTTATCATATATAAAAATAGCTTGCGTTTTAATGCCTAGTGCTGAATACTAGAATAAATAAACAAAATATACCTGTATAGGTATAGTTAGTTTAACAAACTAAATTTTAGTCAACATATTATTTATTTAATAACAATAATTAAGTATAAAAATATTTATACATTTTAACAAAAATACCCTTCAACCTAAAATATTTTGGGCTATTGCTCTAAAAAATATGACACTTCTTTCACTTTTATTAAGATAAAATTACTTATAAGTCTAAACTAATTATAAAATTATATGCAAAACAAACTGTTTTTATTTGATTATTAACAGTTAATTATTACACTAGAAATTTAATTATAAATAAATTACATTTTTTTTCTGCGTACTCATTAAAAATAGTTAATGAGAAATATGTGTCTTTCAATATGGATATTAATAAATTCATCTTGATTTATAATGATATGTATCTAAAAATGTAACTATTATTAAAATTAATTAAAAGATTTGAGATACCATATATTTATAGGTACCATAAAAATGCAGGTGCTAACTATCTTTTTCACCTCTGTTATTTATGTCAAAATAATTATTAATAGTTATATTTGTATAATGTTCCATTTTTATTTGCCAGGATATTGAGAATGAAGACAAAAAGAAGCAAAGATTAGGTGAAAGTTACAAACAACCAAATTTAAAAAACTGTTCTATTTTGCTGAGAAATATTATCAATAAAGCTAACAAAGGTAAATGTGAACAAAATCATCTATTATGTGTTTACATTATAATTTGATAAAAATAATTTGACATTTTTCATGTATGGTTGAATTAGTCTCTTATTAAGCTCTGGAACAGTTGACCATTCATAATCAGTCCATGTGCCTTTTTGTTCTACATTTCCATCCAAAAGTTTTGCTTTGAAAAAAAATATTTTTGCTCCTTCTACATTACATTGCTCTCGTTTTTGTTTTGGATACTTATATTTATAAAACCCGCATGGAGCATTACCATAAAAACTAGCATTTATATTATTACCACATAATTCTCTTAATATTCTTTCAGCTGTTTGTCTTAATGTTTCTCCATTATTCCACAAACCTTGTGGTAAAATCCATAAATCATCTTGTCCCAATTTTTGTTTAACAATCAAAACTAAATTATCATCTAATTTTCTTTTTAATGATTTAGTATCATTTATTTCATCTGCCTTAGTTGAACGACTAGCAAATTTAAAATTTAAAAGTTCTTCTTTGTTCTTATCTACATAGTCTTGTGCTGATTGACTCGATGCTTGATCTACATCATCAAAATCAATAACCTTTCCATTTTTCAATTTTTCCATTCTTTTTACATCTTTTTCATGTCTGAGCTCGTGATCTGATTTTAAGCTCTTTTCAAATTCAATTTCTTGTAAAAAATTTTGAAAATTTACCTCTGTATCAGTTAATGATTTAGTAATTATTGGTTTTCGTTGTAGACATAAACCAGCCATGATATCCCATTTCACTTGCTTTGTTGAGTGCATTCTACTATAAAAGTTTTTTAACATAATTACTTTAATAAATGTTTTCATTTTCAGATTCTGTTAAAATAGATACAATTAGGTAATAGATAGTAATATTAAGTGCATACACTTAAAAATAAATAATAAATATTGCCTTTAAAATTTAATTCAAAAGTTAAATTGTTTAAAGTATTAATTCAAATATCTAAGTTGTATTTACTATTTAATATTAATATTCTTCAAGGATTAAATAAGGAAACACATTTTAGTAGACTAGTGTTTCTAAAAAGTAACAATGATAACATTGATAACTAATAATTGATAAATGATAATATTTAACAAATTATTCTAAAACCACCTACCGGGTTATAAACGTTAAACACAAAATTATCCTTAAAATCTGTTAATTTTCGTCTTTTTTCTGTGAGGTTCTAAATAATAAGTTTGGAAACTTTAAATTTTATACACGATTAAAATATAATTATTGGAATACAAATTTAATATGAATATCTTTAATCGTTGTTTTAAACGTTTAACCCACATATGAATGTTTGAAGATTTTATCATGAATAGAATATTATTATATAAACTATAAACATTTGATTAAAATTTCAATTATTTATAAATATTCGTTTTTTCAATAACACAGGTCACAGAAAATATAAAAAGATTTGGCAAACACTGGTTTGCGTAAAAATTTCTATTTTTAATTATATTTTAAATTCTAAGCAGAGCGATGATAATATTAATTTTACATTATTTTTTTTTGTGTCATCACCTTTTGAGGAAATAAAAGTGCTTTGATCATCAATGTTGATGACTTTTAGTAGTAAATTAGATATAGTTGTTACCTTGTAGAGTCAAAGACAAAAATTTACACTAAATGTTTACATTATTTGCAATTGCTTGTTTAACTTTCAAAGTATTTTTACATTTTTTGTGCATTTATAGACATAATAAATTTATTTTTTGAATTTACATAAAAAAACGTTTTTGCTTGGTCAAAAAACTTAATATACAGGCATGATTTTTTTTTTCAACTATTTGAAATTCAACATTTTTCAAACAATCAATTTCATCAAAACTTACAAATTATTTTGTAGTTAATAAAATATAATAATATACAATTTTCAATATTTTTAGTTGAAGTTTGAAAATTTAATAGAATAGGTACTTATTCTTTTTTAGTGATTCATAGTGAAACTAAGAAATTTAAGAATTGTATAATCTAATTGTTTTATATAGATATTATAAGTTCAAATTTAGATGATATACATTTAAACTGGATATTATTTATTATTTCAATATAGTTCAAAATATTATTTATAGATACATAGAAGTTTTATGCAGGTACCTATTTCATAAATTTCATCATGTACAATTTCATTTTCAAAAAATGTAGATTAATTTATTACTTTTATCTCTTGATACCAGAAATCCTTATATTATTTTGTAATGTTTGTATATTACTTCAAATATACACTAATACATCAGTTGATCTGGAATGTTTGTTTAGTTATTTTAAAAATATATTTATATCTAATAGCATTTATTAAATATTTTTAAATCAATTTTTATATTTAATCAATGCTAATAGGTAACATTTAACATTATAATATTTAAAAAAATAAATATTTGATGCTTTATTGAGTTGAATAAGGATTAATCTATCTATTGAAATATTATTTTCTACTTAACACTTTATAATTAGTACCTATTTATTTTTTTGTACTTGTATTTAATGTATTTTCAATAAACTTGTTATACTTTTAGTATCTATTATAATATTTCCAAAATTCTAAATTATATTTTTGGTATTTTAATTTAATTTATATTTTCTTGTCTATTTATGTAATTATTTATAATTTATTATAGTCTCTTCTTTATGCCTTAGAAGTAGTTAATTACATAATTAAATTATAAAACTAATAAATTCCTCCACAATCATAAACTATAACTTGCTCTAATAAATAATTTTATTTTTTTAGATCAACCTTATTTGCCCATCAAAGATTTGTTAAAATGTATTCTTGATGTTTCACAAAATAATACTTTTAAATTATACATGGGAGAAGTTTACTACACAATTTTAGAACAAAGTATTTTATCTCAAAATTATTATTGGCATTCATTAAGCAGTTATTGGAATGGTAAGAAATTTTTTTTTATATAAATACAATCGATCATTAATGTTTATATTTTAGATTTGTTTTCATTGACTTACAATTTATATGATGAGAATTTTACAAACATGAGACATATTTCAATAAAAATCATGAAACATATAGTAGTCAGAGGTGATGCCTATTCTAGTGTGTCATTAGCTGTTAAAAAAAAGTAAATATTTATTTTCTTATTTACCATTACACATGTTGTTTAAAAAATTATACCATCTATCAAAAATTAAAAATACACTAAAAAAATTATTATTCATGTGGTTAGTGAAAATTTATTATTTTTAATTATTTAAATTTTTGTGACTTTGCTATTTAACATTGTCAAATTATAGGTACTATAAATCTGAATTATCAATATTATTTAATTTATAAGACATTTTTTTTTTATATAGATATGTTTATAATTTTTTTATAGATATATATATATATATATATGAACATCTTTGATGTTATACTATTCATTGTTGTAGTAGATATTAACATTTTTTAACATTCTATTTTTGAAATATTAAGTTATGTAAAATTCTAAAATTGTATATGTATTTATATTTGTTGAAACCCATCAATTTTAATAGATTTTTTAATGACCTAATCATATATTAATTAATGCAAATTTTAAAATATTCTTTCAATTTAATATATATAATATTATTCAACAATTTTAGAAAAATATTTCGATTTAGTTTACAAAACTAAATTTGTAACTTGTCTTTTATAAATTGAAAAATAATGCATAACACTTTTTGTAATGAGTGCATGATGTTAAGAAAATCACATCATATTTTTAATTATAAATATTATAAACTTGTATCCAGTTATCTAATTATAATAATATGTGTGTACAAATATAATTTTATTTTAGAATATTTTCATACTTACAACAAGCAATATTGGACACACTTAAAGAGATTAATGACTTTTCTTTAAGAGAAGATTTAATTATTCTTACATTTAATGTTTGTAAAACGGTAAGTTATACTTTTCAATACTTATAGTTTTTTATAAATAATACTATAAATATTATTAAACCTTATATTTCTAACCAATTAATTAATTATCTATAGTGAATGCTGGCTGCTAAATATAGGCATGCTCGTTTATTATTATGTATTATAGTATTACATATTTATCTCAAGATTACATTTTTGAAAAAAATAAATTGTTTTACTTTCAATTTATTTATAATTGATTAATAATATACAAATTAGTTTTTATTTATTACAATACTTAAACAATTTTAATTGAGTTAATCAAAATAAACTAACTTCACATTTATTTTTTTTTAATTAAATCAATTTTTATGTAATATAAAATAAGATAGTACTAAACATTATAAAAATAATAAAATAAACATTAACAAAAAATCATTGACGGGGTGCAACTAAATCAGCATGCTTTGGATAATTAATACCATACGTTAGAATACCTGATTTTTCAAAGCTATAACAAGTACATATTATAAGGTTGCAAATTCAGCTATTACATGATATGCCTATATCACCAATCGTAAAAGTTACTATTTTTTTTTTCAACAGTTATACATAAAACAAAATAAAAGTAAAAATAAAATAGGGAATAATGGATTGAGTAGATAATGATAATAATAACAATGAGTGCTATGCACTAGGTAGTAGTAGGTGGTACTAAAAATAACGTTTGATTTGTGTCTTAAATTTCATTGCTCCAAAATTTTGTCATTTTTATATCCTGTTTGCGGCTTATAAGTATGATATGTTACATTTAATTGGGCATTCGTTGTAATTAAGCAGGTGTAACATTGCTTGGACTTATCCGCATACACAATTCGTTTATTTCCTATTTTTTCAGGATTTTCCCTTGAATACCCACTACCTTTGCTGCTGTGCGTAGACGTTTTAATGTCTTTCAGACCATAGATTTGTTTTTATGTCCTAGAGACAGCTTCTTTTCGACATTTTGCTTGCTCTCAACCTCTCATAATTTTAATCTTGCTGTCTATGGGATTTCTTCTTGCATTTTAGGAAGTTCTTTCTTGATTTTATCTGAAACATACAACTTGTATATTATACACACTGTTTGCTTCCCACTTTAAGTTACAAATTTTTGCAGTAATGTGTTTCTAGCGCATATTTTTCCTTTAAGTTAACACAGTGTTCATTAAAGTTAAGTAACACCTAGATATTTAGGTAGTGTGTGTTCTAACTTAACTCCTTCCTAGGAGATGTTCAACTTTCTGATTTTCAGATGGAACACACATATTTGAGTCTTTATTAAATTAAGACTAAGCATTTTGCTTTTGTAATATGTTGTCATAGTTTTAAGTTAGGGCTCTAGTTAAGTTTCCACTCCTTCAATATTGTTATCTTGAACTGCTTCGCTGTATACTCCTGTAGTGATTGATTGATCGTTTATATAATGTTAAAAAGGATTGAGGCCAGAACACTGCCTTTTAAAAACCTGTTTTTTGCCTACTCTGTCTACTTTTCTTGTTTCCTAGTGTCATGTAAAATCTTCTATGTTGGAGTAGTGTCTTTATTATCTGTGTAAATACTTTGTCTTTTGTAAGGTTATAAATTTGATCTAATAAAATTCTATTGCTGACCGTATCTTAAGCTGCTATCAGGTCTATAAGAATTACTTCAATAATATTTTTCTTTTCAAACCGTTTTCAATAAACTGGGTCTTAGTTACTATCCATCTTGTGCATGATTTGCCTTTTCTGAAGCCTGCTTGCTCTTGTATTAACTTTTCGTCAATATATCTTAGTATGCGTTTGTGAACCATTCATTCAAAGGCTTTATATAGGTGACATAGAAGTGATACCGGCTTTGAGATTTTGGAACTTATTGGATCTTTTCCTGATTTTAAAATAGTTATTATGTGGGCTTTTTTCCAAATTTTGGATAGTTTGTAGGTAGTTTTGATTTCATTAAATTGCTACAGTATCCAATGTTTGGTCTTGGGATCAAGTACATATTGGTAATATTAACATCATCTAAAACGAAATTGGTTTAGAGATTTACTTTAATACACATAAATTATAGACAAAAAAATAAAAATAAAAATATTATAGAAAATTAAATTAAAATAAATATT